TGCGGTTGCGAGGGTGCCAGCGTAGAAAACTACAGGCGAATGCTTTGAGTGTCGGGAAAGGGGATGGTTTGAGGTGGCTCTAAAGAAAAGCTGCCCTAACAAAGGCGCCTTATTTCACGCCCAATGTATCCCACCTCAGACACGATCGTTAAGATATCTATCCTTGCGAGGTGCGAGTTCCGCCACTCCTATCCCTCCCTTACAACCCTCTTTTCTTTCTCTTTTTTTCCTCAGAAAACCCTCGAAAATGGTTCGTTCCTCCTCACGGCTGTGTGCCTTTCGGCTTTCGAGTGCTCCGGAGGGTGTTGTCGAGGTGACTTACAACGTCGCTACGCGAGGCTTGCGCCCGTGAAACGTCCGAAAATTTCCCCCTTACTTTCCTTTTCTTCCAAAGCACAGAAGATATCGTGGTGTTTCGAAGTCGATATAAAATATAACGAGGATAATACGGGATCGCTGGAGGCCGTTAATGTTCCAGGGACGTATTGTCGACAGGATGCCGGCAGATAAGAAGCGAACGGTAAGACGAAACAGGCGATGGAGGGATGAAACGAACGAGCTGATAGAGGAGGGGTCGATATTGTACAAGATGACCCGCAATTCGCAGCCAACCTCGAATAGAGGTTGGCGTCGTTCCTTATGAGTTCACGCTTCCTGAATGGCCCGAGTCTTGGGAGGACTTTATCAGGAGGCGAAGACGTCCCGTTACCAGGCGATGCCTTTGTGCAAACGCTGCGATTATACCGTGCTATTCAATGCCCTCGTGTGGTCTGCCCTTGAAAAGCACTCGCCGGTTTGGTGTCACCGCGCATACATATTACCGCATAATATAACGGCAGGATAATAAAAATGAAAGGCTGCTCCGGAAGCGAGGCGAGGATCCTGGCGCATACGCGGTCATGGTAATCTTTCGCAGGCGCGAAATTAAGGGAGGATTACACGTGACACTTTTCTGTGCCCTCGCGTATAAAGGATTTTTACAAAAAGGAATGCAATACAGGCGGGGTAAATGGTATCTGATAAACAGGGTAGTAACTTTGGCGAACATAGGGGTTGAAAAACTGTGAGAATACCAGTGACGTTAAGGATGCCTGATAAAAATTCAATTGCCAGGAGAAAAATCGACAGTCACTCGTAAATAATCGGTCCATTTGCTAACTCTCTTGGAAACACGACGAGATAATCGTCTCGAAAAAACAAGAGCAGCATGATGCATAATAACGATGAATAGCAGTAAGTGAATAGGAACGGCGATGCTGATGGCTTCCTGGGAGGAAGACGGCCCTTCAACTCCGATGGAGATTGATGCGGATTCCATTAATCTATCTCTGCCTGGCCTGTTCTTGTCGCTACTACTGTGGCCGCCACAGTCGAGCCAGTTTTCGTTGGACGAAGAATAATGCGGACATATTAATCCTCGAAGGTTCAAATGAAAACAGCAACGCGTCAGCTGACACTCGCTTGCTTTTCACTCACAGCTGAATTTTATGACTTTGTGCGATGACCCACCCCTTCGGTTTGGCTGAAAATTATCACCAGCTCGTCCAGTCAATGTTCGAACAAGATTTACTCTGGTTTCAAGTACGCGTACATCGACGACTGACTCGAGTTTCATGGATGTCTGTCTCTTCTTGCCAAGGGAGAAACGAGCTCGTTAAAGAAGATCCCCGGGAAGCCCACGAGACGGATATCAAAGACGAATGATCGCTAATTGATACCACCGACGTCTTCCAACTTGGACCGTTGATCTCTGCTTTGATCGTTCGAGGAAATTTCTCCTTCAGACACGAAACACGTATCTCTTGTCTTATGAAGTTAAGAGAGATGGTGTTTTCAGCTCTTGTTGCGTCTCCTTCGTGAATTACACTCTTACACTTTGAAACGATCGCGAACCTGTCGGACCGGAACAAGGTTAAGGGTTGTAGGCGGTGAGATTCGACAGAAGTATGAGAGATAGCGCGGAGTACGAGCAAAGTTTGTCGCAAGTTTAGATTGAGTTCAATCTCTGACCCGGACGATCATTGCTCAGCCGTCCCTCGATCCTACTTCCTCGGGAGCTTATCGTCTAATATCCAACCAGGGGACGGAGAATGAAACGAAATATCAGGACGTCTCGTGTGCAGATCTGTCTTCCCTTCTCTCTTCGTTCAGCTCGAATTCTCTTTCTCTGCACTCGACAAAGTGGCTGGACTCTCAAAATTGCATCGACATCCCGAGTCCTCCAGCGATTAATTATATTCGAAGGGGTAATTATTTAGAGTAAAGCTATTGTCCTACAAATCCCCACGCGAAACTGGAGATACTACGGGATATCAAATAGCGGATTCAATTCCTGAAGACTGTCAAGAGAAGAAGCGTCTGTCGACCCGTTTACCTCGCTAAACTTCGAAAACGAATCTCCTTAAGAAACTGAGATGATTCCTTCAGCTTCAGACCCTTTAAGTCTAAGGTTTCAAACGTCTGATATCGAGGTACACCGATCACCCGGCTCGAACGTCAGAGACGAAGTTTAAATAGCCAAGTTTTCCCGAAAAGATTCGAACATACCGCAATTACCTGAACCGATTGCCGAATAATCGAGCGTACTATTAGGTTACCGATATTCCAGAAGCGCGGTTACGACGCAGCCTAGCATGGAACACCATGAAATTAGTGGGGCACGTCGAGTGCCTGATAACATAACGTTGCGTACATTTCAGGCGCATCAACGCTTAAACGAAGTTAACGTTACAGCGTCGATGAAAGCGAGCGGCCTTCAGGCACGGAAATTCGCTTTTCCACTCTGCCTCGACCGGAAAATTCGATCAAGTGCAACGGATTGTCGTTCGTTGATGGCTTCGTTAACTTGCTGCAACACGACGAACAGATAGAGAGAGAGAGAGATCGGTATCTACCGTGTAGACGCTTTAGAAACTGCTACCGGTAGAAAACAAGGAATTTCATATTCCACAGGTGATCAATGAGAAACCTGTTCATAATTAACGACGTTAAAATAACGGGGACGATTAAAGAACGCCTTTCATCGATCGTCCATTGAACCCTTTCACGGTGAAACCTTTCGGGACACTAATTGCTCGAGGTCGATGCTTCATCCCTCGCTATCACGACGGTGTTTTATCTATTCTGTTCGCCGAGTCTGCGGCCATTTAACCGACCAGAGGCACGGTGAACTGAATTTCGGTGGAGTCCAAAGGAAATGAAAGGCAAAGAAGAGGTAACGAAGGGTGAGGTGGGTGGGATGAGGAGGAACGGGTAAGAAGAAGCCACCTTTCACGAGGAGAAGAAGTATGCAGCCCCCAGTGCCAGACGCCAGGCGTTTCCTTAATTGCATTTTTATGCTCGCCCGGATTTCCGGACGGTGAGAAAAAAGGACGAGGCAGAAAAGGAGGGACGATGAGAAGAGAGCAGTTTATTATCCTGCTGGGAAGAAGTTCACGGCACCGCGGCCGTCCATTAACGTGTATCTCGATCAAATGTACTAGAGATACGATTCTCTTTCCGTCTCGTTAAACCAAGCCTGATTCAGACAATTATTTGAAGGAAATAAATGAATTGCCAGCGTGAAGCGACGAGAAAAGGGGAAGAGGAAAAGATTGTTCGTTTAATTTTTATATATCGGAATAATAAGGAATTTAAAATTAAAGGTTAATTATAAATGATCGAACGAAAGGACTGTAGATTCGAAAGAGACGTAAACGATGCCAGCCTATCGAATAGAACGTTTCGAAGATTTCGTTTGGGAGATTAACGAGCCGGGATGGGATTTCGGTAATTCCAAGCATCGTCGACAAAAGATCCTCTCCAGATGAAGGAACTTAACGCGCCGCGTGAATCAAAGGGGAGCACACGAAGTAATAGGGAAAATTCTGGCCCGTTGAACAATCAGTGGCGAAACTCGTGTAACTTTGAATCGTTCTCTGAAGTTGTTCCATTCTCCGTTAGACTTGCTTTATTTTCCTTTCGTGGAAAAGTCTTGATTCCCCGACGAACGAGAACGTTCGATCAAACTTTTCATCCGATGTTGAAAAACAAGTTCGTTCGCAAATTTATTCCACGTGATTTTATACGTCATAGAGAAAATTTCCAAATTATGATCGAAGTCGAAAAATATCTGACATCCACTATGAAAATGTAAAAATTAAAAGGGAACGTTTATCAGAGTTCGATAACGGGATCGGAGAGACAGAAGGGCATCGATGAGAGTGTCGGAACTAGAAAAGGAGAATTTTCGATCGAACAAATAACCAGGGGCCCCGCTGAGCCCTTGTAACAGTCGGGAATAAGTTTGAACTGGCATGTAGCATTGGCCCATTCGTTCCTTCTGTCCGAGCCCCTTTTCACGGGTTCGGATTTATTGAAATTTTATGCGGTGGCCCGATGAAGTCCGGCTGGAAGTTTTATCAACGGTTCTACGCGGCCGGACCTTATATTACAGTAGAACGAGGACGATCGGGGGTGGATCCGTACTTCGATCTCGCTACTGGCAACCGATTTTCTCGTTCGTTCCACGCTTACGGGGCTCGGAGAGGAGATATTCTAGGATATTCCTGCCGGTTGGATAAAGAAAATTCGGGGTGGAATTCTATCGATTGCCTTGGCTCATGTTTAAAAGCATCAAAATATCTTGGATAGAAAATGGAAGATGATTACGTGGACGAATATAAATCGCGAATATTTTTCATTTCAAAGCTGATGCGTATTGTTCAGATTGTATCTGAATTATCTTATAAATCGCAAGATTCGCAAGACCATGAAAACTGCAACATGGTTGCTCGATTCCGTCTAACCTGAATTATCCGCTTCCACAAATCAAATTGTAATCGTACGTTATTCGAGTCGCGTATCGGATGTATATAGCCGTAGACCTCGAGGAAAGATTATCCGATGTAGCAGAGCCAAGAATCGAACCGCAGTCACGTCGTTCATTTCGCGAAAAGACCGGCTACGCGACAACGTGATCCGTTTAATATCCACTGTCAAAAATGAACGTTCCGACTCACCCTAGGTTATGGTTGTCAGTGTTATCAGCCGCATCGTCCGTCACGGAATCCTGTGTGAGAGGACCTTGGCTGACGTCCACCCCCATACTGCCCAAATCCAACGTCGCGTAAGTTCTGCGTGCCTGCACCCTCGTACCTCCACCACCCCCGCTGTCGCCGCCGGTCACTTCGCCGCTTCTACCACCGTTTCCGACCAATTCCTGATACAATTCATCGTACAGAGAACTGCCGTTCTCGTTGCTGTTCAAAGCGTCGTCCAGCCGGGCCGGATCCAGGTGGTAGTTGGGATTCTCGAAGGAGAGCAGACCGTTTTCTGGAAAACACAATAAAACGTACGATTTAAATATTTGTTCGACTGTTTCAATTAATGGAAGTTGTAAAAAACGCAAGCGAAAATTATTGTAATCGAAGAGTTATTACATCATTGGGCACATTTTAAACAAATTTTATCGTACTTCTGTGCGAACTAAAGGTACTCGAAGCTGCGTACGACCCTCGAAGGAGTTATTACTTTTGCATAGCATGCGACGTGTTCGCGCGTGCTGCAAATTGTTGAATAAAAGACAGAGAATAAGATACTTTCGTGTGATACGAGAAGCAGAGGTCAAGGTTTTGCCAAGAGCAGCCTGGAGTGAGTACAGTTGACTGTGTCGAGCGAAGCGTGAAACAGCAGAAACGAGGCTCTCGAGAGATAACTCGGTATATTGTTTGGAAAAGAAAGATTCAAGTACGCGAGGAACAACCTAGGGATCGATAGGTGCCGTTCGGTAGGGAATCGTGCTCGTTTCTCGATATTACGAAAGCAGCGTCTCTAGGATCGATCACTCCGACGTGAAAAATAAATCAGACGAAGCGAAGTTAAAGGCGAAACAAGACGAAGACGTGGACGAATCTATCGCGTAGACGACCTCGTCAGCAGAGACAGCCTGGAGAATCCTCTGAAGTCTAAAGCGGGACTCTTGCCGAGTATAAGAGGATTAAAAACATTGACCGGCCGATCGTAAGAGGTTGAAAGTTAAGAAGCGTAGAGAAAATGAGGTTCAAGCGTTCTAGTGAAAGAGAACACCCAGGATTATTAAATGCTCTTGTGATCTACTCACTGATGCTCCTGACCAACACCACAGTGGCTAGGAATACGTTGTACAGAAATCGACAGAACGCGTCCATGCTGACGCGAGGTCGGTCATTTTGGTAAAAGATCTCGTTCGATAATCGCGAAACGTCGCGGCGAGGCTTCGTATACTTATCGACACGATATCGCCACGTAGAAGGTGTAAATGCACGTTCGTGTACATAGAGAACAGCGCCCAATAACGTATGGGTGTGTTATGTGTGGGTGTCTAAGACGAATCTCCTTGGCCTCCTTTGTCCCTTCCTTCCTTTCTTCCTTTCTGTCTTCTATCCTTGACACTCCTATCTCTTCTCGCCTCTACCTATCTCTCTCCTGTTACCGGTATTGATTCAACTGCGAGCTTTAAAGCTCTGTTCTTCGACAAGTCGAGCTTCTTTCGGTCAAAGGGACGCTGTAATTTGCGTTCGATTCGATTCGATTCGTTCGGCAAACATCGATTTCCTCTGCACCCGTGTATAGATTTCATATTTACGAACGCGTTTTCCGATAGATTCAACGTACAGAGGATTAAATTCGCGCGATACACTGCTACACTTAATGCTGTTATCTTAACGTTGTTTGAGGCTTCTGGGTGTAAGCCTCGAGTCTTCATCAGGGGTCGAAGGACGCATCGGCAATGTTGGAGAGATGTTGAGAATGTTTTCTTATTGGACGCGGCTTACACACGGAAGCCTCGCACAGTGTCAGACGAAATAGCGTTAGGTGTAACGAGACCATCGCTAGTTCCCTTTTTTCTTTTTTTTTTTAACTCACGAATCATTCCGTTCGCGAAAGCGGAAGCGCGTACTTTTTACACGGGTCCCAGGAAACAATGGAGCCATCGAGAAGCAGAGGTAATTAGTCGATCGAATCGGAGCGAATGAAACTTGTTTCCGCGACCCTTTGACGGCTAATTCGACGTTTGTCGCGACCCTCCGCCACTTTTGCCGACCATCGACTGACGCGACTCGAGTTCGTACGCCCGTTTTCCGAACAAAAGGGTAACGAAAGCCCTCCTTCTCTCGGATACTCGATCCGCCGAGGATCTTGCCCGTCGACGATTTCACGAACCGTCGCGTCCAACGATTTCTCGCGTTCGACGGATCCACCGACCTCGTTAATTCGTTCACCGACTCATAATTATCCTGAAATTCGGCGAACCTTCGACGATTATTCGACGGGAGAAGTTCGAATGAATCAGCAGAAGGGTGGCTCCCGACCATAGGGCGACGAATTGACCCGTGCTCTGGTTAAGGGGAGGTTAGCCAAAAATTTGATTTTCTTTTTTCATTTTCGAGCGATTTAACTGTTAGTCCTATTAAATTTTGCTCGCGTTGCAAGCTCTTCAAGTACATCTTGTTATTTCGTACGAAAGAAGCTCGATGAGGAAGCTTCAAAGTTTTCGTGCAAAGAAGCAGCCGGAAGTTCGAGACAGAGTTTTGGATGCCTGTCGTTGGCAAGAAAATGCGACGAAAAACCGGAGCAAAAGAAGGAGAAGATCCTTGGGATTGTTCGCGATGACGGTACACGCTCGTTTAGATTCCATTAACCTATCTTTCGCCGATATTTCAATAAGGTAAATCCAGCCTGTAATCTCTGGGTAATTAATTATTTTAGATAGCCGGGAAAAACGTTCGGGAAAACGTTTAATTTATACGTTGGTATCTCGTCGATTTCAAAGATTTTCTTAATTCAGGAAGGACGTAGGATGACTCAGTAGCACGAGGGTGGGTCATCCCTGTGCGACAAATTGGCTGGCGACTGCTCGTTTTGCCGCATGCTCGTTATACATAGGTGGATGCGATTGCAGCTGCTGCACCCTTCTCGAACGGATCTCGTTATTTCGCGTGGAGGTAGTTCCATTTGAAATTAAAATAAGAAATAGCTATTCGAGGTAATATTTCGCTCCGATATTGTTATTTCTTTCCGATACCGTTATTTGAAATCTTGATGCGTTCGAAACAATAGCAATTTCAAAAGCAATATCACGATACGAATCAACTGTTTAATGAGTACATCGTTATCTTATTATATTACATATAAAATGAACGAAATGCAAGAGAAAAGTGAAGAGTGTCATCTGGTTGTTAACGCGTCTGTCTGTAACCAAGTTCCTGAAGATAAGAAGGAACGAGAAAGTAGAAAGAATCGTTTTAAGCATTACCAAGGTAGCACCGATTCAAACGAGACTATCCTTCGAAGGTAGGGAACTTTATTCGTCGTTACTGGAAGACTGCAGTGCGGATGAGATGACTTGGGGCAAGAAAACGGACGGAAGCGGAGCGTCCTTTTTAGAAGGACGGAACTTTTCGAGCAACGACCGAGTCAGCGAATTCCACGAACCAGGAATCGCAAAGCCTCTGAGTACATTTCGTTATTTCACTAGCAAACAGGAGAAGTCTTCGCGAAGAAGAAGAAGAAGAAGGGTAGAAACGACGCCTGAACAGGGAGTTTTAAAGTTTGGACACGCTTTCGGCGTTAGAACCGGAATCAAGAGGATGGAAGAGAGAAGGAGAAGGGCGTGGGAAGGTTGAAGAAGGAGGACGGAGAATAGAAAGGAGGGAGAGAACTCCGTCACCGCCCCTCGATGAGTCACCCTATCGATTCCTCGGTCGAGAGTCTAGGTGAAGTCTAAGGGGTGAAGGGGCTCTTTACCACCGGCGAGCACCTTTCTTTTTTTCCCCCTTGATTCTCCTTCCCTTTCCTCTCGACGTCCTTACGTAAGTCCTTTCCATGGAATATTAACTTTCATGGACGCGGAGCAACCTCTTTTGCCACGTTCCTTAGCCATTCGGAACTGCAGGGGTCACGTATCTCATAAGTACCGGAGACGATTGGCCGTGGCTGTCGAGTATTCTCAAGACTCTCCAACAAGATTGTCATTTTCTAAACGCAGTGCGAATCAATTTTTCTTTAAGGTCAATGCTCGGAGATGATAATTTAAAATTAAAATTCGCACAATTTATCAATATGACAGACAAGTTTTAAGAATTGTTTTTCAACAATGAAATTTAATCGTCTCTGGATGGTCACAGAATGGTTATTTCTCAAGGCGTTATTATTTCATGGCACATAATAGAAAATAACCGGTGTTCGAGTCCTTTTGCATTCTGGGTTCCATTCTTTCTGTTCACGGTTCACCGTGATAAGATTCTTCATGGGCGGTGGAATAAAGTGATTCTCGCGCCCCATGGTCACCCTTTCACGGAATTCAACGTTTATTCGAGCCCAGTCTTGCGATTATGCTCGAAGCGTGGGGGGAGTCGATGCTGTTACCCGGGCTCTACCTCTCGCACTTCAGCTTTTCCCTTTACCCCCATAACAATGGAGTTACGGTCTTAAATGTCTCTCGCACGGGAGACCATAGAGAATGGGGTGCGAAGAAGCAAGTACCGTGTCTCGTTACGGCGAAAAAAGGCCGGGGCAATTTCAAAAGCGATCGTTAAGTTTTACAGCCAGCCGAAAATGTTGGCGGCCCTTCGAAAAGGTCAAGATTTTTCAGGTAATGGTGTCTGACGCTACTTTTCCCCCGTCACCCATTTACGGCTCCCCGTTTCACCCCCCGTGAATTTCCATTCCAGCTAGAATCGTCGATTCTCCTCGTTACTTTTTTTCCATGTAACCAAACCAAAAAGAGAACCATTCCAGTCTCCAAACGATATTCTAACTATGTAACTTGATTAAATTGAATTTTATCCATTCCCGATTCTATACTCAAACATATTTCACCTGTTAACAAAAAACAATCAAAATATTCGAAGCGACAGAACGCAACAATCGAAACCTTTCAATGGCCATCGAAATCCGTTCAATGGACAACGAAAGGATCGCGAATCGACACGAAAGAGAGAATATCGAAAAAGAAAAAAAAAAATAATAGGAATCAAGGAACAAGAGCTTCCTCTTTTTCCCCTTGGTTCATTTTCGTCAAACAAGCTACGAACGATCTCGTTGGAGGGCGATTGCGCTCGCAATGGCGTATCTCGAGGCAAGTTGAACGGTTAGGTAGATTGGCTCCGTCGAATGGGACGCTTATGCCTACTTTTTCTCGAAGACATTCAGAAACAAGGAGTACGACGGAACGACGCATAGTTTGCAAACGGTCGTCTGGTCGGCGCTTAGACGTCCTGGCGCCGTTCACCTACGGCGCCGCACGCAACCCTTAAACGCTATTAGCCGCGCCATACCCGCCTCCGACTAGC